ATTGAATTCCTGACAAAGGGAAGGAGCTCAGTAAATGCGAGTTGTCTTTTTGGCAGCTTCAAATACCCAGAATAGAGCTGAAAATCTAAAAGCCAGTGAGAAAGTAGAAGGAAATAGCTGTCATTTAGCCTCATGGATTATTCTTTGTAGGAGATCAGAGCCAACTGCTTTTTATCTTGAATGTAGAATTGTGTAAAATTAAGTTACTGACTTAATGGATTTCATTATCTAGTTTCTCCTAGCGGCCTTCAAGTCTGTAGACATTAAATTTGAGCAACATGATAGAGGCAAGGTTAAAGTGTGAAATTGAAGCTGAGAGAAATTTAATAGAGGGACAAATACCTCAGAAATCCTGAGGGCATCAATGTGTTATAATATAAAAACTAATACTCAAAATGATACTGCTAGATTGTCAAGAAAATATTAAATTATGTTTAAAAGACATTGCTTCAGAAGTTAAGGGAGTATATATTTTAGATTTCCATCACAATGACTAACATTTTAAGAAGTTTGGCACTTAAGGGAATAAACTTCTGCTGAGTGTGAAGCTCACATAGATAGTATGTTTTACTTGTCTTTCACAGTATTTTCACATTTATTTTTGGGTAAATAAATTTAGAAGACCTTATTTCCTGTTGGACTGGCATTTTGCTCTTCTTGACAATCTGTGTAAATAGGTGTCGCAGAAAGCACTGTGGAACAAATGTATAAATCATTATGGATAACCATGTAATGCTGAATTTTTCTCTGTCCAGAAGGGAAGCTGATGTGAAGGGAGAAGAAAAGGTCTTATTGTAGCCATGTTTGCCCATTTCATGTCTTAGACTGCTTGTCCCATACTGGTTAATAAGAAATATGGCCACTTTATGGTTATGGTTTTGCAAAAGCTATGCATTTCCTTTGATTCAACCTTTCTGGTTTCACATCCTATCCCATTTGGCTATTTGTATGATTTTTTATCCTCAAATACAAATAATCAACTGAACACTGTTAGGTGTTTTATCATTTTTACTTAAACATTATTAGCTTTTGTTCTACCAAGTTGGACCTGTCTTTGATAAGGTGAAATTTTCTTCTGTTATGTCTTTGACTACTGGCACTGTTCCTTTACTCATCTTCCAGAACACTCAGTTTTTTTATGTTGTGGTTTTGTCAGTCTTCTTTGTCTATCACATTCCCTTTTGTCCTTCTTCTTCCTTACTCTTTCTACCTGATGAAGTAGTTTTTCAAGTATATTTAATTTTCAACAATGTTCATTCTAATTTTTGATACTTCACTTCTAATTCATTATTATTACATTTTTTGTTTCCTTATACTTTCCCCCTTTTATTTTGCTGGCTTCATTTCAGTTTCTAGCTCAACCATTTCTCTTTGTATTTTGCTAAATTATTTCATCTTTAATCTCTTTAAAATTTGTGGTGTTGCTTTTTGATATATAAGAGGTACGAAAGCAATGTCTAAAGCTTACTTTGGGTTTTCCTAGTTTCCTTTTTTTTTTAATACCGGGGATTGAACTCAGATTCTTGAGCTTGTTGGGCAGGTGGCAGAACCACTGAGCTAAATCCCTGGCCCAAGTTTACTTATATTTTCTATATCTCAAGTGTTTTGTCTTTGATTCTGTAATACAGTGGTACCTCCGTGGTATCTGAAAAGAACTTATTCTTTTCACGATTCTGATCGAATTGGATGAGAACTGAATCAAATTCAATGGTCAGGTTCAATGTTGACCTTATGGGGAAACTTGATTTGATTCTCACCCAATTCAGTTTGCAACCAGAATTGTGGAATTAAGTTCGTGAATTAAGGCACTGTTATATTTTCCTGATACCTATGTTTACTTGTTTGCTTTTCCCTTTTATTCATCCTTAAACAACAATGTCTATGTTATTGGAAATGTTTACCGTAAGTTGGATTTATCACTTCTCTTTGGTTCTCCTCTTAGAAGAACGAAAAGATCTGATGATAAATGGCTTCATATCGTATTTCTGGAGGTTTTGTCTAAAGTGGATCTGATAGTCTTAAGTTAGAGTTCATCACCTGGTTTTGCTGTGTGATTATTTTATTCCTAGATAATCTAGCATAAGAAAGCCCCCTCTGCTTTGAAAATCAGTCTTTGTATTGCTGATTTTACATCTCTAGATGTAGACTCCAGGCCTTATGTTTTCCAATATATTCATCTAAGATTGATAAGAATTTTAGACCCAAATTGCAGATAGAAAGTATGGTTTTAGATCTGATGGACCTAATCAGTGGAACAGTTGAGCCCTTGTGCAGCAAGGAAGAGCCATTTTTCCAAGTCTGGTCTTGAAAATCCTTTTGCTCTGAGGGAGTTTAAGGAAATCTTTTAAAATTGTCCTAGTTGACCTAGATATTTTGCCTGAGATTACTTCCACTTTTTACAATGTGAATTAAATTCCTTTTTCAGTCCAATAGATCACTGATTAATATTTGCAAAGAACTTAAGGTTGTATAGTAGGTGTGTTTGTGCGTGTGTGGGTATCTATTACAGTAGGAAGGTGGGCAAGGGGTGATAAAAGTGTTACTAGCTTTTGTCTCAGCACACATATAGTTCTACCTGGCTTGCTTAAAGTGCTCAGTATAAATTTGTGTAATGTGTGAAAAAATGACTTAGTCTTCTTTGGGGATTTTTGAAGAACCAACCATACTTAACCATTTATTATTTGCTACTTTTCTCCACTATTCTTCTAGTTGTGTATTTTGCAAAATATGTTCTAGGGGTATCAGATTCATAAAATGATCTGTGAAAAAAGGGCTCCATGTACAAATAATTTTTGGAAATGCTGCATACTAAATCTTTCTCTCAGAGATTAATTCATTATGTAAGTATACTAAAGGCCCCCCAAAAGACATACCTGTATAACCTGGGCTAATAAAACTATTTAAAACAAAAAGCTTAATTTTAATTCAGCAGAAAGCTTCCCAAACTTATTTGATCACAGAAACCCATTGTGTTAGCTTCCATCGTTGAGACAAAATACCTGAGAATAATGACTTAAAGAAGGAAAAGTTTATTGTGGCTTATAGTTTCAGAGGTTGAAGTTTATGGTCATCTAGATTCATTTTTATGGGCCTAAAATGAGGCAGATGATCATGGTGGAGTGGGCATGGTGGAACAGAGCTGCTCACCTCATTTTAGCCAGGAAGTAGAGTGAGTGAGCCGGAGAGGAAGGGGCTGAGACATGTATAGTCTCCAAAGCCATTCACCCAAGCCCTGTTTCCTTCAGTCAGGCCCCACTTTCTAAGTTTCCATCACCTCCCAATAATGCCATCAGGTTATTAATCTATCAGTAGATGAATCCACTGATGAAGTTAGAGCCTTCATGATCCAATCACCTTCCAGAAGCCTCACATCCAAACAGATGAGGCTTTTGGGGGGACTTTTTAGATCCAAACTATAACACCTATCTTTTAATACCTCATAAAAAAACATTTTGGGAAATGCTATAATTTTTAAAGTATAGTGTTTTTGAACCTCATAGAATTTATTTTAGACTTTTCAACCAAATAAACTTTGAAGTTTTTAATTTGAATTTTTTCAGTTATCAGATACATAAATTTTGACTAAATGTAATTAGATTGTCCAGGTTTAAGTCAAGAATTTCTATATTTTATTTGACACTTGGAACGAGATTTTATCTTCATATTTTAAAAATGTATATTATTTTGGGCATTAAATTAGTTTATTTAAGAATAGGAAATATATGTTTTATGTTTTATTGATACACTAAGCTGAGAGAGCCCTTTACACCATGGTGTAGAAGCATTTTCATATTTCCCATGAGCTCAATAAGAGAGACAGTTTGATAGTCTTTACTCATGGCTTTAATATTGTGTGTTAACCTGGGAAATAAACCTATAGTTATGCAGAATTTCTACCAAAATGGTACAACTAGTCAGGCATGGTGGATATTGCGTGGTTGAGGCAGGAGGATTGTTAGTTTGAGGCCAGCTGGCACAACTTAGCAAGATACTGTCTCAAAATAAAAAAAACTAAAAAGGGCTGGGTATATAGATCAATACTCTCTGAATTTAATCCCAAGTACTGGGGCCGATGGGCAGAGGGAGGAAAGGTACAAATGAATGAAGTAGGAGAGTTGACTGATTTTATTTTGCTTTAGAGTATTAAATTGTTGCATTTGTACTTTGTCTTTAAGATAATAATTGATCAAAGTGCAAATCATCTTTCTTTCTTTCTTTTTTTTTCCTCTTGTGGTACTGGAGTTGAACCAGTGCCATTCTACCACTAAGCTACCCCCCACCTCCTTATTTTTAATTTTGAGACAGAGTGTTACTAAGAGAAAGGACTCAAACCTGCAGTCCTGTTGTCTCAGCCTCCCTTAGTGCTGGGATTACAGTTAAAACATCTTTCTTTCGACTCTATCCTATGAGAGTCAGTGTGCTTATTACTAGTTCCAGCTCTTCAATAACTGTTTAAGAAACATTTTTTTTATATAACTAATGCTTCTATATGCACTTTTTTACTCTTATCCATCCTAATACTTTGTTTCCCCTCTATATCTGTTTTATAACTAGTAGTTTTTTTGTTGTTGTTTTGCTTTTAACATTTAGAGTTTGTACCAAGTTAGGAGATCTTTTTTAAAAAGAAAAATTTGATTTAAAGAGCCTCTTTTCCCAATAGCTTCCTAAATCTAGTTTGTAATGAGTTTGTAGTGGATTGCCTAGTTCAAGTTTTTAGATTTTCCCTATATTCAAGGTCTTATTTTTAATACTTCTTTCTGAATAAAGCCATTATCACAGACCTTTTCCATTGGTTCCCTAAAATAATATTTTTGGATGTAGTTGTCCCCAAAACTGACATTTTTAGAATTAAAAATGATGTCTAGGAATATTATTTAGGTATTATATTACTAAAGCAGTATGAGCACACAATATTTTAAGAATTCATAGAAATCTAAATAAAAGGTAATGAAGCTTTTATGTTCAGTGTAGTAAATGAAATTCTGTTTTATCTTCAACAGACAAACAACAGAAAGGTGAATTTGCAATAGATGGCTACAATGTCAGAATGAATAGCACCCTTAGGAAGGATGGAAAGAAAGATTGCTGTTTTGAAATCTGTGCTCCTGATAAACGTGTCTATCAGGTTGGAGTTTTTATGTTGCCTTGAAATTAAGTTGATAAGATGTTCTGATTTCATTTACAGAGACATTAACATTTTGTTAAAATATCTCTCCCTGACATGTTAATAATAATAAAAAATACAGGTTTTGTACATTGAACATTCACGTAAGAGGAAATACACTTAAAAATTTGAGAGTAGTTCAAGTGATATCTTATTGAAAAAGATCAAATGAATATAATTTATCAATTATTCCACATGTAGCATTTTATATCTATCTTAAAAGAAGTATGTGATTTCCTAGAAGAATTACATAGCAGAAAGAGTAAAATTATCAAAGGAAAAATATTAGAGTGTTAATGCATATTGTATTGCTTAGAGGTGTGGGAGAAAATGAAGATAAAGACACGGATCAGCTCTGCAATTCAAGAGCTATCAGCTAGGCATCAATATGGAATGTATGTTTAATAAGTTTTAAATATCTGAGATTGCAGCTGAAAGCTAGTTAATTAAGTTGTCAGGTAGTGTGTTGGAATCTGACAAGAACATTTTTAAGAAAACTGTACCCAGCAGTCTAAAGAAATTCATGGGTGTCTTCTAATTGTCAAGGGCAAATTTTGTTCATCAGTTCTGTCTTTGACATTGATGAAGAGAAGCAGCTTTTTTTCCTGCACAGCTGCCAGCTGCTGATCAGAGTTTCAAATCCATCATCCTCTGCTTCAATTACATAAATTTGTCAAAATTAACTGTACATTATAAGAAGCATCCTTGCAAGGAAAGTACCACTAGACATGAAAAGAATTACTAATGGTCTTAAAGATAAGAATGCGACATACCTTACATTTTTACTGTGGTGATTTTTATTCTTATTGTTTGTTGGATTTTTTAATTATTATTCTTAGTTTACAGCAGCTTCTCCTAAAGATGCGGAAGAATGGGTGCAACAGCTGAAATTTGTATTGCAAGGTAAGAGCTTTGGTTGGACATGAAGTCACAATTTTTAAATACTAAATAACTGAGTAATTTTGCTTTTCATATACAAGGGCTTATTGACTTCTGTGAGAATAACCAAAGAACGTGACTGGTATTAATGGACACCATTCAGTTCTGATTTATAAAAGCATCTTTTTTTATAATTACCAGTTGGCAACTTTAAAATTCACACATTTACAGATCAATTTAAAAAATGTTTCAAATAAAGAATGTATCACAGACAGTATTACTATTACTTTGTAGGACTGTTTACTTAGGAAATAGAGTTTTTAAAGTCATTTGGAATCTTTTAAAGTTTACTTTGTGAAATATATTTTGTAGATATGGAATCTGATATTATTCCTGAGGATGATGATGGAAGAGGAGACGTGTATGATGATGTTGATCATCCTCTACCAATCAGCAGCCCACTAGCAAGTACTCAGCCAATAGATGAGGAAATATATGAGGAACTTCCAGGTATTTATTTTCTGTTGATTCATATAAAGATTTTAGGTTCTTTTTGTATGTGCGCCTGTGTCCATGCCTCTGTATGTGTGCGAACAATTTGTTGTCAGGCCGACAACTTGAGTAGAATATGGTGAGCTATTAAGAGCAAGGACAGGGCCGGGGATTTAGCTCAGTGGTTTCGCTGCCTACTGCGTAAGTGCAAGGGCCCAAGTTCGATCCCTGGTAACAACAACAAAAAAAAGAGCAAGGACAAAGAAAAACCTTCAAAGCTCTGTTTTGCAAAAAAGGTTCTGCTTGAAGTATTTCAAGTGAGTGGACGTACATTTATGAAAAGTGAATGGAATGTTAAAATGAAGCAGATACAATCCTAATCTCGTGGGACTTTTGGCTCATTAGCATTGTTTATGCTACATAATTTTTTAATTAAAAAATTGACTTGCCTTACAGTTTTTTCCACCAACTCACACATCATTTTTTATTTATACATCTTGGAACTTCCATTAACCAGAAGTTCCACGCACGCCCCATATGTCATCAACTTCTGCCTGTGTAGTCCTCCTTACTGTGCATTCATTGTCTGGGAGGAATGTTGTTGGGCTATAAACAAAAGCCTTTTGAGGCTAGGTCTTATTGATATTTTAGCATGAAACCCAAACATTTTCTTATTGTAAATTTTTGGGCTTGGGTTAGAGTTTACATGCTTCAGTGTTGCTAATTACTTATGGCTACTTTTGAGTTTTGAGAATCAATTTAAAGCAGAAAGATAAGCATCTAAAATTTAGGATTTTTAGAATATAACAACTTCAGGGAATTGCATTACTAATACACTAGGTTGAAATGAGCCTTTTCCTGGCTATTAGAAAATCTGTAGTTGGAGAAGAAAAGGGGAATATAAGCAGTGTAAGTGAGATTTAGCTAACATGTAGAGAGGCTGTTTTTCTCTGACGAGAAAAATTTAATGACAATATAAACCTTTAAAATGGACTTCAGAAATACTTACGATGTTCCAAATTAATGTCACTCTCAGAACAGTCAAGAAAGCATAGTAACTAGAACATGGACTTTAGAGTAAAAATTTTAAAATTTTGGGTGGTATCATTTTTTACTCAATGATCTTGTAAGTTAATTTCTTCATCTATAAAATGGAATGAAGTAATTCAGCACAGTGCTTGAATCATACAAGCTCACAATAAATAATAACATCATTATTATTTTTATTATCATGTGGTGAATTCTTCAAATGCTTATATGATGGTACAGTAATGGTTTTCTAGCCAGGTAATAATAATTGCAACTATTATAAACTCAAGATATAAAAACTGTGCATGGAGCCTATGAATTGTCTTTTACTACCTCAGAGGAAGATGATTAGTACAGTATAATTTTGTGGAGAATAATAGAACTGTGTATTTGTAGCCCTTTTTTTTGTGGTTTATCCTAAGAAAATGGCATCTCTCATAGCAGAGTAACCCTTAGGTAAGAAAGAATATTCTTTGGCTACTTGCTTTTAGTCACACCACATCATTAATAACAGTTATTTTAGTCTTTAAAATATTTGAAAGAACTCGTGAGAACATAGACTGATGTAAAATGGAAGAGTGTAGTACCTTTAAACATATTAGTACCATTACATTTTGTGTTGCATTACAATTGTTGAATTGACTATTAAGTTCTGTTTCTTCAATTTGACTATTGTGTCCCACCATCCAATGAAGAAAATAAGAATAAACATAAAATATTCAAGGTTATCTCCTTAACAAAGACCCAAGAAAGATCTGTAAGTAGCCTGACATTTAAAAAATATGAAACATCTTTCATTACAGATGTTCTTCTTCTTCATTCTTTTTTTTTTTTTGGCTGGAGGCCATATAATTGCTGAAAATACTGGTTACTCTTTAAACAGTGTTACTTCTTACTGTGGTACTAGGAGAAATTTAAGCTGCTATGGGATTTCTTTGTCCCAGCCTGCAATCCCCAGTTGCCGTACAGTGATTGAGCTTGATAGAGCCTGCAACTGTGCCCCTGGGAAGGGAGCTGTAGGCAGCTGTGGAATGTCTAGTGCTTCTTTCTTCCCCAGGGTAACTGAGAGCCACTTCAACATCTGTATGGTTCAGCAAGTTTGCAGTTTGAGCCAGCAGCTACAGAGGGGATTTTTCTAGTGAGGCCCTAAAGTTATCTCAGAGTTACAGGTTTTATTTACTTAAATATTGAAAATAGGAAAATAACTTTTTAAATTTAAAAATTGTCTTTCAGGATAAGAATTAAGCTTATTGCTTTTACTTTATGAAATTTGGATATACTTTTGAGATGAGGGTGATGAGAACAGTAGAAAGGAGCACACTTAGAAACTTTTGATATTTTTCCAGTTCTCTGTAAAGAACTATTTATCTCTGAATTCCCAGAATTAAATAATGCTGCCATTTCAACATAATTTTATGTCAATTACATATTATTGAAAAATAATCCTCTTAAATTGAGAGATGAGCCGTACAGATGTATTTGAAGAAAAATATAAACACTTAACATGCTACTTTAAATCACAAAGCTCTTTTCCTGAGAAAGTCAAGTTCTTACTTGTGTGTTTTTAATGTAATATAAAATGTCAATGTTTTAAGTCTCAAGAGTGGGAAGAAGAAAACATTGTTTAAAAATGATATTGGAAAATATCCCTTGAAAAAATGTTCATAATTCTATGGGAATATAAATAGTTTCATTGTAATTGTTTTTCAGTTAGAATATTCTAATTTATTACAGCACCTTCACTTTAATTTCTTGTTTATTAATTTTTAACTAACTTTATAAAAGAATAAGAATAAATTTCTAGATTTCTTTGTGTTTAGGGTATTTATGTGTATGTGCAGATGAGTTGGGAATGATGTTTCTGGGAAGTATTAAAGGTATTTGGCTTTTCTTCAAATACCCTAATGCTTTAGCATCTTTTATATTTTATTACTTATTAGCATAGGCCAGTCAGGTTTGCATACATTGTGCAATTACCATAGCATATTTTTGTTTGCCCATCTAATATATTAGTCAAAGTATATTAAACTATTTTACAGTAATGAGTTCATTTGGTTTAGCATAAATTTAGAATTTATTGCTCATTTTTTTCATTACAACTACAGAGGAACATTTTTGTCTGATTGTGAATCCTGAAGGCAAGAAACAGTACTTGGAAAATTGCTGCAGAAATCGACATAGCTCGCTCTTTCCTTCTAGTTACTATGTCACTTGATATTTTTTCCTTTAATGGTAGAAAATTGTGCAGAAACAATAACTGCAAAAAGATTTTTTTGGATGTAGAGTAAAATCAGCCTGAAAACAAGAATGGTAACTGCCCATCAGCCGAACTCTGCAGCTTTCAGGGAAATTCCACTTGAGATGTCTTCTGGTGAGTGGACTGGCAGAGAGAGGGCAACATAAAGCAGGAAGACCAATTTCTATTCCATTAAAGCTATTTTTTTAGAGTGAATTTTTTTTTTAATTGCAATGGCAGATTGAACTATTCTGGGCCAGAAAAGGATTTTTTAATCTTTTTTTTGTCATTCAATTATATTTAAATTTATTCAGTCCAACTATCTGCATCTAAAATGGAATGTAAAGTAAAATGCAGCTATAAATTTCTCAGTGAAACTATTATGTACCCATAAAAAAGAACAGTACTTAAATTTGAAATAGTTAAGTACTTTAGGTATTTGAGTACTTAAATTTGAAGTAGTTTCCAGCAGGTGAGCAAAAATGAAAACTTAAAAGGGGTTACAAACCTCCAAAATATATTTTAGCCTTATTTTCCTCCTAAGTAATTGTCACTCATAGTATAAAGTTAATAAAGGTAATAGAAATCCCACAATCTTTGGTTATTAGTATTGTTAGAGTGATGGTAGGTCTTCAAACAATTTTTTTTTTTCCTTTTTTAGGAATGCAATGGAAAAATGTCAGTTAACTTTCATCAAACCACATTATTCAACATTTCAAGATTGTTAGTCTAGGTAGCATTCTTTTTTCTTAAACTATGATACTGAATTATAAAGTCATTAAGTATGGTGATATTGTATCCTAACATATAATATTATAAATATTTTCCCCAAGTAGATAACTAGATTAGAATCATATGTTTGGAGAGTTTCAGCTCCAAACTCTGCTGAGAGGGTCATCTGAAGTTATAAAAAAAAAATAATGAAAACAGCCATAAATTAGGGTCATTGCTATTTGTTTGTATTATCTTTACTGAATGTAGGTATGTTTTTACTGTTCCTTATATTTCCTGTTTTAAAATATAATTTTGCCTATCATGTAGTGTTTCTGTACTTTGCCATTGGCATTTCAGACAATTTTGTTATGAGATGATTTGACGTATATTAAGACTTGAGGGCCAGGGATTTAGCTCAGTGGTTTCGCCGCCTGCTGTGCAGGCGCAAGGACCTGAGTTCGATCCCCGATACCAAAAAAAAAAAAAAAAGACTTGAAATACCAATGTATATTCAAAATATATATGTTCAGGTAGAGAGATAAAATGTCCCATTTTTGCAATTGGAACTGTATCAGAAAGAGAACAGAAAAGAAAGGTGGAGCATATAAGAAAGGATAGTAGACATAGAAATAGGTGAAATGTGCAAGCAACTTTACCTATCATTTAAAATAAACCTTGTTTTTTTAATTTAAAGAGATGAGACTGAATTTTAGCTGCCAATTAAAAAGTTAGCTGTGGCAAGGTGGAGGTGTGTGAAGGGGTTGAAGGCACACTAAGTGCTGTCCCATTGAGGAAGGAGAGGGGGTGATGATAGCCATTTAAAATTTCAAAGTAAGTAAAAAAATAAAAATGCAGTCCTAAGTTTCCTAAAGCAATAGAATGAAATAAAAGGTGACCACATAAAAATGTTTAAATCCCAAAGAAGGCAGGAAATAAGAAAACGGAGTAAAGAGAAAATATGATAAAGTAAGACATACTATAAAAGTAATTATAATAAATGTAACTTTATTAATTTATTAAAAGAGATGATCTCACTAGA